TGAATTTATAAAATGTATTTCCAGGTCTTCATTACGATTTTTATTAGTTCCTACTTAGTTTCCAGTTCCAACTCATGGTGCTGGCTTGCCGTTCATAGCTATCTGTATGAGTCACTCATCTCTAGGTTGTTATTGGAGTCTTGGGGTGGGGGTGGGGGGTGGTATCTGGGAAAGTTTTTGATTTCATAGGAATTGAAGGTCTGGGGAAAGTTTTCTATTACCTCCATAGGAACCTGAGGGTCATCCCAATTAATTTCTGGTCTGACACATGAAGATAGTTACGCATTAGAGTTCACCTTGCAACACTTGTGTGATAATACAAATATGAAGAGCATTACATGTACCCCATGGCAATGGTCAGACAAATTCCTGTACAACTAAGGTTAACTGGTATTCTATGCCACTAATAGATCTAGGATGGGATCTATTAGAAAATGTGTCCAGGCGCCTGATAGTCCTGGAAGGTACCTGGGGAAATTCCCAACTATTTGTGTGGGAATTCCACTGATTCTCTATGGAGTCTCTAGCAATATATAATAAACAAAGCATCATTACTTCTCTCTTATTACGTTTGTGGGCTGTCAGCCAGCTGCCTTGCTGATAGCAATACATTCTGTAATAGGAAAAAATGTTCAGGAAGACCTGGCTGGCTGTTTGCTCACTGTGATTCTTTGGCTCAGCAGTTTGCCAATACAATTGCTTAAAAGTCCTGACTGCACTGTTACATTCTTTTTGGCCTGTGATTTATCAGGAAGTGGATAAGGTGCTCTTTAGTATGATCCCTGCCACATGTGTGCTTGGCCTATATCCCTACTCCCTCTTATATTAGCTGTGCTTTGTGTGGCAACCTAGATCGGGGGATTGTCATTGTTTTACTTTAGGAAGGGGTGATACCAGCAGCTTGGAAGGACCCTGGATCCAGGACTTGTGATAATGATTGCCCAGTGTCAAACTTTTCCTTTTTAAGGAAGGTTGTTGGGCCTTTGCTGGGGATTTAACTCCAGAGGAAATGCATTTTCTGTTCAGGTTCAAGCCTAGGCATGGGATTGAAAAATACTTGTTCACTCAAGTAGTTTTCCTTTTTCAAGACCTTGAGGGAGGAAATGTTCTCATTAGATTTCTTGGTGGCTTTTGATACCATCAGTCACCTACAATGAATGGGGATTAAGAGCACTGTGTTTTGTTTCTACCTTGGTATTCTTCTTGTGTGCCTGAAAAGCTGCTCCTAAGCAGAGGAGGGTGGCAAAGGATATGACACGAGGAAGTGGGAATCACTGCATTCAAAAGAGGAATATGGGGCAGCATCAACTCATATGTTTTGCATCAAGAACATATAGGTAGTCTTTGACTAATGACCACAATTGAGCTCAGAATTCCAATTGCTAAGCAAGGTAGTTGTTAAGTGGGTCATGCTCAATTTTATGACCTTTTTTCCAGTTATTGTTAGGGATATACACCCTAGCAGAACCTGCACGGCAGGCAGGCAGGCAGGCAAATATGTGAGATAAACGTTGTTGTAGTTTACACTCAGTAAAACAGATACAATGTGCTAGTTAAATAGTTTATTCCAGTAATAGTTATAGCATAGTCAAACAGTCCATATATCATACACTAGTTCAGTCCGTCCGGGGATTATTCAGTTGCAAAGTCCAGTGTCGAAAAAGAGGTCATTAAACTTACAAATATCAGTCCAGTAATATATCTCTTCGCAGTAGAGATATGAAGAAGTCAAACCTCCTTTTTTCCTTCAGCAACAGCAGAGAACACGCAGTTAACAATCCATCATCGTCAGCAAGCAATCCAGTAAGCCAGCAATCAATCAAGTTCTCTTGCTCCCTCTTATGGCGATTTACAGCCGCACCCAAAATTACAAGCTTTGCAGTTAAAGTGACACACACTTAAACTCACTATTATAGTCTATATATATTATTTTACCCAAACTACGTTAGGTAACCTATGTTATTCCTAACAGTTATTAATCAAAGCACTGCAGTTTTTAAGTGAATCACATGGTTGTTAAGGAAATCCAGTTTCCCCCATTGAATTTGCTTGTCAGAATCCAACTGTGAAGTTTGCAAATGGTGATCACATGACACCAAGGTGCTGCAACCATCACAAGTACATGCCAGTTGCCCAGTGCCTATATTTCAATCATATATTTCAAACATGAAAGCTGCAACAGTTGTAAGAATGAAGACTGGTTGTAATTTTTTTCACTGCCATTGTAATTTCAAATGGTCACTAAATGAAAAATTAGGACTACTGCTATGTGGATACTAGTAATTCAGTAGGGACTTAATCTTTCAGTACCAAAATCATTCTTGAACACAGTAAGGGCAGAAAACAGGAAAAGGGATGCCATGTTTTTGGATGGTGTAGCTCTATGCAAAAATTTCACTCTTGCTATTTAAGGAGATGAAAAACGCCAGCCTGAGAACGGGCTTTCCAGCTACATTGAAATACAAAGTGGACCAGAAGGATGCTTTAAGTACCAATATGCCCACCATTGCCTCTCTTGTGTCTATTGGACCGCATAACTTTTTGTTTTTGTTGAACATGTATTTCTACGAAAGGCAGGCAAAAATGGTATTCCATATAGAAATAAAATGGAGAGCATTTTTAAAAAGACTTATCAATAGAAGAAAATATTTGTAACTCAAGGATGAACTGTGGAGTCCTTGGTGCTTCTCTGAACTTGGTTGTTTTCCTACAGACATTTCTTTACCCAGCCAGGCAAGATATTTAGTACTAGACAAGTACTAACAAAGCGCTAACAAAGATTGTTGCACCAAAAGTATAAAAGAACAATAAAGAATTTTTAACCAATCCTTTAAATAGCAAAAGGACGAAGCAGGAATGTCTGATCCAATAGATGAAAATAATAACAGTAATTAAAAAAACAAAAACAAAACAGCAATACAAAGTTGCTGTTTTCTCTGAAGGCTCTGATTTGCAGAACAAAAATGGGGAGAATTTGCCACTGGTGTCTTTCTGTCAGGAATTAAAGGTGTGAAACCAGTTGCTGTGGTGGCCAGAAAAAGTAATCTGTAGCAGCCCAACTGCAAAACCATTATTCTCGTCCACTCCTTTAAAGGAAACGTCTGAGAGTGATAGCAATGTTAGATGAGGCAGTGTAGAAAGGTCCCTCAAGCAGTGTAATTCCAGCTGTGTGACACATCACAAGGTTGTGCCAGTTTGAGGTTCATGCCACTGTCTGTGCTGCTGCTTCTCCACCAGAACAAGCATTTCAACACCTACAGCCTTTGGGTTGTATTATGAGCTGGAGGAGTAGCAAGGTATGCTGTCATCTTAGAAAGGCTCCCAGAAATGCTGCACTGAATGGACTAAAAACTTCCTTCCTGTGCATTACAATGCTTTGAAGCCACTTTCCCTGTATTGAACACGATACAAACATATTTTGGGCCTACTGACCTTTGCAAAGTTATTGGGCTTGTTTATATGGTGAGTCACCCATGTTCACCTCAGCTGAACAGTTCCTTCCAGTGGCCTCCTGCTACTTGTGTTCACCCTTAACAAAAATCTGCAGGAGAGGGTAGGGTAACCTCAAGGGTAAGGTAACAAGAGGCCCTGCAAAAGGAAGAAATGTTCTCCTTGTTCTCGTGTCCTCTGTCTCACCGACATAGTTTTAAAATCAAATATCATCTTGCTCTTTGAGCGTCTTCATTTTTAGTATTTTGGACTGTTTTCACAACAGTAGTCATTGAAACATTTGTCTGTTGTAATTTTATAAGTTGTCTGGTTCTTTCTTTCCCTTGTCCATCAACAGATTCAATAGCCTAGATTTACAATATTTAATTTATTTTCTGATTCCAGCAACTAGTTTCAATCCAGGCCTTTCAAATCTGTATGATCTATGATCATTGTAGTCTATAAATTGCATAACTCGTCCTATGTTTCTGTAGTAAAATTTGAAAAGTGCATCATCATCAGTTCTATGTTATTAGTAGCATGTGTTCTTGAAAGAAAGATTTGTTGGAAAAAATATTGTAACTGAAAATCAGCCTTTCTGATGCTAGAAAAAGTAGGTTCATATGCAAGCTTCCTTCCTTCCTTCCTTCCTTCCTTCCTTCCTTCCTTCCTTCCTTCCTTCCTTCCTTCCTTCCTTCCTTCCTTCCTTCCTTTCCAGAATATTATTCAACATAGTCCCCCAGAGTAGCCCTACATGAAACAAACAATATGTTAAAAAGTTATGATATTTATGTAGTTACTTACCCAAGCAATATCTAAATTATATTAAAATAACTAAAATATCTTTACAATTACCAAGGCACATCAAAAATTTTGAGCACCCCTAATGTTCTGTCGCGGGAAAAGATCAGACTCGAGACCAGCATTGAATTCAGCTCTTTATTATCTCTCAGTAACTTCATCTAAACCGGAGCCGCGGCAGCCTCTTTTATAGCGGGTGCTCGCGGCTCACAGCCAATGACATCTTTTTAAACTTCCCGCTGTCAGGCGGACCAATCGCAATGGTTGTTAAACAACCAATCGATAGGCGGCAGTGGCAGTCCAATCAGAATGCAGTATTATGAGAATGCAAATGTCTATATACAACACCCTCCCCTCTTGGTTCGGTCCATCCTACGTTATGTAGTTGCGTAAGTAGGTGGGGCTTTTATGGTTCCTACTTGACCTGCGCAGTTCAGTCTCGGCATTGTCTTCAGTCGGTTCGGACGGGATCGCTGTTTCTCTTGTCCTTCTCCGTGGAACCCCCTGGAAGGGTGAGTCAGCCATGCCGCTCCCATCTGATCTATTTGGGCTGGTTGAGTCAGCTCTGCCGCTCCCTCCTGGTTCAACCGGGCTGGTTGAGTCAGCTCGGCTGCTTCTTCCAAGGGTGGCTTCGTGTTGTTTTTCCGCTGCCAGCTCTTTTCTTCTGAACTCGCCTGCAGGTAAGTAGTTTTTATTTTTTGGGTGGGCCTTCTGGTACTGGTTGGTGATTCGTTTTTTGTCATGTTAGTGGAGGGTCTTCCCTCCCCATTTTATTGTTTGAGGGTTCCCCCCACTCTAGTTTTATTATTGTCTATTTGATGTGGTGTTTGTGTATGTTCTATATGTCGAGGGTTGTCGGTGTTTCGTTCTAATGTTCTAGACCGTAGTTGGTCTATGTGTCTCTTCCAGGTTCTTCCGTCCTCCGTTTCTAGTTGGTATGACCGGGGTCCCGTTATTTGCGTTATTGTAGCCGGTAGCCACAATGGGTCCCCAGTAAGATTCTTTGCGTATACAAGGTCCCCTGGTATAAATGTGCGGTACTTACTGGAGGAGTCTGTTGGCTTTTCAGGGTTGTAGGTGGGGTGCAATCTATCCAAATGTGACCGCAGTTTTCTGCCCATCAGAAGTTCAGCTGGGCTCTTGTTAGTCGATGTGCTCGGTGTTATATGTTGGATGGTTAGCATTTTATTGATTTTGTCTTGGATGTCACCCGTGTATAGTTTGTCTAATGCCTCTTTCGTATATTGAACCATGCGTTCTGCCCATCCGTTTGAAGCCGGGTAAGCGGGCGCTGTTAGGGCATGCCGTATGCCCTGTTCAGCGAGGAATTGTTCAAATGCCAAGGCTGTGAACTGCGGGCCGTTGTCCGAGACCAACAAGTCCGGTAACCCATGCATTGCAAAAAGCTTTTTTAGTTGTTTGGTGACAACTTCAGTCGTCGTGGAATTCATGACACTGACCTCCAGCCAATTTGAGTAGGCGTCGACAATGATTAAAAATGTATATCCTTTTGTGGGTCTGGCGAAATCTATATGGATCCTCGACCAGGGGCCTCTGGGTGTCTCCCAGTCGAAGACCGGTGCTGGAGGGGTGGTAGGTCTGGACTTTTGGCATTTAGTGCATGTTCCCACCCATGTCTCAATGTCTTTGTCCATCCCTGACCACCAGACATAGCTCCTGGCCAGGGATTTCATTTTTACGATACCCGGGTGTCCTTCATGTAACATGCACAGTACTTCCTTCTGCAGCTTCTCAGGAATGACAACCCTATCCCCCCACAGTATGCATCCCTTCGCAATTAGAGTTCAGTTTGCCGGGTACGGAAAGGTTTAAAAGTCTCATTCTTATCATTTTCCAGCCAGCCCCTACCTACCCAGTTTAGAATCCGGGCCATCAGTGCATCTTTTGCGGTTTCTTTTGCGATGTCCGATGCGGTGATAGGCAGGTTCGGTAATGTTTCAATTTGTAGAGTGGATGTGGTAGGAGCTGGGTCGTCGTCCAGGTCTGGTAGGGGTGAGCGGCTCAGCGGGTTGGCATGGGTTATGGCTCTCCTTGGTCAGTGGATTAGCTTGTAATTGTAGGCAGCAAGGAATTCTGACCACCGTGTCATCCTTGGTGACAGGATGTTGGGGGTGGCCTTGTTCCCCGCGAGGATTCCCAGCAGTGGCTTGTGGTCAGTAATTAAGGAAAATGTCCTACCGTAAAGGTATTCGTGGAATCGTTTGACCCCTGTTATAGTGGCTAGGGCTTCTCTATCCAGTTGACTGTAGTTTCTTTCAGCTTTTGACAATGTTCTGGAGTAAAAAGCGATCGGTGCCTCTCTGCCATCGGGTAGTGTATGGCTGAGTATGGCACTGACACCAAATGGAGATGTGTTGCAGGTGACCGTCAGTGGCAAGGTGTCGCTGTATTGGATTAACACAGATTTGGACGTCAATAAGTCTTTAACTCCCTGGAATACGGCTTCTTCTCATTGGCCCCAGGGCCAGGTAGCTTTCTTATCGAGTAGTCTGTGCAGTGTCTCCACTATTGTTGCCTTCTGCGGCAAAAAGAGATTATAAAAGTTAATGAGTCCCAAAAATGCTATCCTTCTATCTTAACGTTTATGTGAAACTTTCTTGCATCGGTTGTGCTGGCGTTTCCGATGATGATTGTTTGGTGTGTTTCCTCTTTTTCGTTGATTCGCTTGCTTCTGTTTTCCCGGCTCCAGCGACTCCCACTCTGTCTCTCTCTGGTTCTGGGGGAGGGGTGCTGCCTCGTCTTTTAGGACTATAGCTCTTTTTGTTTCGGCAGACTCTTGCTATGTGCCCCCGTTTTTTGCAGTTTCTGCAAATCGCGTCCAAGAAACAGCACTCAGAACGTGGGTAGTCTCCTCCGCATCCGGCACACTGGAACTCAGGCTTCCTTTCCCTTTTTCCTCGCCGGTTTCGTTCCGACTGGAGCCTATGTATTTCTTCATCCTCGTCATCGGTGTTGGGCGAGGAATCGATGTCTTCATGGTGGGTGGTTGCGGTGGTGTGCTTTTGAGTACCCTCTGCTTTCTTGTCTCGGGCTTGGCTTGGACTGCTCTGCGATCTTGGGTAGCTGTGTTCATTTGCCGCATGGTGGCTGCTGATTTCTTCGCTGCTTCAGCTGCGGTGGCTTCAGTGATAGCCTCGTTCATGGTGATGTTGGGTCGGTTCAGCAGTTGGCTTTGTAGGGTAGTATCTCTCAATCCAAGGACTACGTGATCTCTCATGGCTTCGTCCATGTTGAGGAATTCGCATGCTCCTCCAATGTCCCTTAGGGCTGCTACGAAATCCCTGATTCTCTCGCCTTCTCGTTGATCTCATTTATAAAATTCGTGTCTCTGGATAAGGTTGGAGACAGCCGGCGCATAATGGGCTCTCAACATCTGGTTCAAATCTGGCCATGCCATGTGCTTAACATCCTGGGGTTTGGCCAATGCCTTGGCCATTTGAAAATTGCGGGGCCACAGTGCGTCAGGAATACGGCTCTCTTCGTTTGGTCGGTTATTCCTTGTAGCTCGTTGCTCTCAAGGAACATGAGGAATCTGTCAATATACGACTCTCAGTCCTCTTCGGCTGGGTTGAACGGTGTGGGTGGCGAGTTGTTACCGGCCATCTCGTTGGTTGCTCGGTTCTTGTTGCCACGTGCTTACTGGTCTCTTTTTCTTAGCATCCCCCCTTCGTCGCCAGTGCTCTGTCACGGGAAAAGATCAGACTCGAGACCAGCGTTGAATTCAGCTCTTTATTAGCTCTCAGTAACTTCAACTAAACCGGAGCCGTGGCAGCCTCTTTTATAGTGGCTGCTCGCAGCTCGCGGCCAATGACATCTTTTTAAACTTCCCACCGTCAGGCGGACCAATCGCAATGGTTGTTAAACAACCAATCGATAGACGGCAGTCACAGTCCAATCAGAATGCAGTATTATGAGAATGCAAATGTCTATATACAACACCTAATGTTTGGAAATTGAAAGTTTAAAAATTTGACACACCCTAAAATTGCCATAATGAGCAGCAAATAAGTTTAATAATAAATAAAAAAATAGGACATCTTGTTTTTGTCATCTTGTCAGCTACATACCTCACTCAGATATCCTGGGTGTGGATCTCTCCCTCCCTCCCTCCCATTCTCTCTCCCTCTCCCTCTCTCCCATAAGCATAGCACATACTCTACAAAAAGCTCCTTAGACACAATATGCTCTGATGACAAACTTTTTGAAACCTATGGCACTTTGCCCTATTTACTTTCAGAGTGAATAAAGAGCTACAGAAATGCATGAAACCAAAGATGAAAACCTCCTAGAATGCATATGGGTCAATATAAAAGAAAAAAAGAATGACATGGCCATAGGTTTATATTATAGGCCACCCAATCAAGCAGAAAATATAGATGTCCTTTTTGCCAGCCAACTAACAAACATATGCAGGAAACACACAATGATAGTAATGGGAGACTTCAATTATCCTGATATCAATTGGAAAACTAATTCTGCACTAAGTGAGAAATCAAATAAGTTCCTAACCAACCTAGCTGACAACTTTGTTGTCCAAAAGGTAGAGGGTGAAACTAGAGGGACAGCCATACTGGACTTAATTCTTACAAACAGAGAAGAAGTGATAGAGGGAGTTGAAACTGCAGGAACCTTGGGTGAGAGTGACCATGTCATACTAGAATTCAACATAACACAAACACAAGCAACAGAACATAATGATACCAGAGTCTTGGACTTTAAAAGAGCTGATTTCAATAAACTCAGAACTTGGGAAAGATTCCATGGATGAAAATCCTAAAGGGAAAAACAACTCAAGAATCTTGGGAAACTCTAAAAAGTATTATCATAGAAGCCCAGACCAGCACAATGCCACTGAGAAAGAAAAACAAGAAATCCAAGAAGAAACCAGCACAGCTGCACAAAGATCTCTCTGGCAAATTGAAAGAAAAAAGGACAAGTACAAAAAATGGAAAGAAGGACATACAACTAAGGCAGAATATCAGCAGATAGCCAGAATCTGCAAAGACGAAGTCAGGATAGCAAAGGCTCAGAATGAACAAAGACTTGCAACAAAAGTCCAAGATAATAAAAAAAGTTTCTTCCAACATATAAATAACAAGAAAAAAAATCAAGGAAATGCTTGGTCCACTAAAGAGAGAAGACGGCAAGGAAGTAACAGGCAACAGAGAGAAAGCACAACTGTTTAACTCATTCTTTGCATCTGTCTTCACGCAAAAAGAAACTATAGCTCAACCCACCAAAAACATAACTGTAAAAGACAGACCAGAAATAAAAGTTAAAATAAGCAAAAAAATAGTAAGAGAACACCTGTCTGATCTTGATGAAAACAAATCACCGGGGCCTGATGGATTACATCCCAGAGTTTTAAAGGAGCTGCCAGAGGTCATCTCAAAACCACTGCACCATATCTTTCAAAAATCCTGGAGCACCAGGGAACTACCAGAGGACTGGAAAAGAGCTGATGTGGTTCCCATCTTCAAAAAAGGGGGGAAAAAACAGACCCAGGAAACTATAGACCACTCAGCCTAACATCAATACCCGGGAAGATATTGGAAAAGATAATAAAAAAACAGATCTGCCAACATCTAGAAACAAGCAAAGTAATAACTAGCAGTCAACATAGGTTTGTTAAAAACAGATCATGCCAAACCAATCTTATTTCATTCTTCAACACAGTGACTAAATTAGTAGACCAGCAAAATACTATGGACATAATATATTTAGATTTCAGCAAGGCATTTGACAAAGTAGACCACCACCTACTTCTTAGTAAACTAGAAAAACGTGGAATAGATAGCACCACCACTAGATGGACTCGCTACTGGCTGGCAAACCATACTCAAGGAGTAGTCCTTAATGGGTCTAAGTCTACATGGAGGGAAGTAAGCAGTGGGATGCCACAAGGTTCCATCTTAGGCCCAGTACTCTTCAATATCTTCATTAATGACTTAGATGAGGGAATAGAAGGGGAACTTACCTAATTTGCAGATGATACTAAGCTGGCAGGAATAGCTTACACCCAAGAAGATAGGCTAAAGATCCAGATGGATCTTGACAGACTAGAACACTGGGCCATATCTAACAAATTGAAATTCAATGTAGAGAAAAGTAAAGTCCTACACTTAGGCAAGAAAAACCAAAAGTACACATATAGACTGGGTGAATCCAGGCTCAATAGCAGTAACTGTGAGAGAGATCCTGGAGTCTTAGTGGACAACCAGCTAAATATGAGCCAGCAATGTGCAGCAGCCAGAAAAGCGAATGCAATCCTAAATTGTATTAATAGAGGGATACAATCAAGATCAAGGGAAGTACTAATACCACTCTATAAAGCCTTAGTAAGACCACACCTAGAGTACTGCATCCAGTTTTGGTCACCACATTATAAAAAAGATGTTGAGACTCTAGAAAAAGTACAGAGAAGAGCAACCAGGATGATTAGGGGACTGGAGGCTAAAACATACAATAAACGATTGCAGGAACTGGGCTTGGCTAGTCTAGTAAAGAGAAGGACCAGGGGAGACATGATAGCCATCTTCCAATATTTTGGGGGCTGCCACAGGGAGGAAGGGGTCAAGCTATTTTCTAAAGCGCCTGTAGGCCAGACAAGGAATAATGGATGGAAACTGAACATGGAGAGATTTAACCTGGAAATAAGGAGAAACTTTCTGACAGTGAGAACAATCAACCAATGGAACAGCTTGCC